GTAGAGTAAAATATTGATCCCAACTCTCTATGCAGGCTAAGCTTGACCTCCCCTTTCTGCCGGCTGGACCCTACCCAGAAATGGAGCCACTCAGAATTGTTGCAACTTGGGTGGCTTCCTCCACATTCTAGATGATTAGGTATTCACTCCTGACACCCAAGAAAGAGTTTTGCTTTCATCTGAGCATTGGCCATGGTCCTTGCCCGAATTCTAAGGGCCTATGCTATAGATGGCCCTCCCATTCAGTCACGTTTATTAACCCAGGCCTGAAGGATGCAGAATGTCCTCTCATTCCCTCTACACCTTTGTTATACACCTACGACTCTGTTCTAAGAAGCTAGGTTTACAGAAATGTGTTAATCAAGCAGATACTATACTTAAGGCAGCAATTTTTGGTATTATATCATTTGTCATTTAACTTTTGCATCTAGTGATATGCAAAATATTTGACAATCTGTTTGGCATGAGCATTTGATCAATCAATTTGGAAGCCTGACCAATCAGAATGTATGCCCAAATAATCAAAATGGACACCCAACCAATCAAAATGGATGCCTGACCAATCGGAATTAAAAGCCAACCAATCAGAATGAACACCTGACCCATCAGGACAAATGAAATGTATACAACCAAATACCTGTCTCCCATTTATCATTGACCTTTTCACTTGTGGATTCTCCTCTCAATTAACTGGGAAGCAAACTGAGGGCAGGGGACCACATGATAGATCTCTTTGTATTCTCCAAGTGGCCTTGCTGAGCTGGTTTCATAGTGAGCTTAATGGATATTTGTTTGAGTGGACATTATTCATCCCATCATTACTCAGGAAACATCAGTGGGTGGAAAGAGTACAGTTTGTCCCTCTCTGATGAAGATAATTATAGAATTATCCCACTGGAATATCACTAAACAAATAGCATGTTTTTGGATAACACACAGGTGATAAGAGAAATTGGTATTTTTTGAGGAATTATCATTCAATATGATCTTAACAAGCTAGAGAAATAAGATATAATCACACTGATTTCTTAAACACAATAATGAATAGTATACTTACAGAATGAATAACATATAAATACAAGATAGGTAAAAAACAGAAAGGTATCTGTGAGGTCAAAAATACCTAGGTCCTACAGCGAATAATAAACTGAAGGTGTCCCAGCTGTTTAAAAAACTAGAAAACTGGCACGATAGTCAGATGTTCATTCATTTATTTGACAACTTAATTGAGTACCTGCTCAATTAAGTCATCATGCTAGGCATGCTGGGGGCACAGTGAGAAATTAGCAATGTCCTTTTCCTCAAAGAGCTCAAGTTTTAAGGGAGAAGACAAAGAAGTACACAAACTATTAGATAACAGAGAACTTATTTGATGGCTGAGTCATCAGTCAGTGAAAATAATCACCATGAAGGACATCTTTGTAGCCCACCGGGACAGCTGTGCTCAACAGATGGCAGAGGACCAGAACCCAAGAGTGTTTGGACAGAAGTGTCAACACTGACGGGTGCAGGCTGATGACCAGAAGCTGCTTTGCCCCTAATTTTTCAGGACCAAGTAAGCTCCCGGATTCTTGTAGGATGCAGTTACGAGGAAGAAAAGCCCCAGTAATGATAGATAACCAGTTTTGCCAGCCCTTGACAAGTAGGGGTCTCAGCCAAATTTAATTTCATGTAAGCAGTTAAGAAAGGTAACTTTTCTTACATGCAAGTTTTATAGAGCAATTTAATACAGTTGGAGAATGCTTGAATTAATTTGAAAATTTGCCTAGAGAACACACAGACTCTCAAGAATATGTGTAGATTCTTGGGGGGATGTCTTTGATCCCCAAATGAATAAACTCTAAGAAGTGAATAATGCCCTTGGAGCTGTGGACAAAACTCAGGTCACCTGGTGCTTAGTCCAGTCCTCTCTCCATTACAAAACCCCAAAACTTAGAAAGTTCAAGGCTGGGACAATGGCCAATGCTCAGATGAAAGCAAAACTCTTTCTTGGGTGTCAGGAGTGAATACCTAATCATCTAGAATCCTTGAGGACAAAGTAAACATGCAGAGGAGGGCAGGGAAAGAGAATACAGGAAAATGAACTAAAGCTCTGATCAAAACCAGCCTGAAGCTCACACAAACCTCCCACCATTCAGACCTCCTTTCAGCATCATTACTGCTCCTCATTAGAAGATTCACAGGGAAGAACTCAGATTGACGCAGCCTGGTCCTATGTCCATCGCTTTGGCTGGACGAGTAAAGTACCATGATTCACAGCCTTTCCCAAAAGCAGGAAGAAAGAGTGCTGGCCTGACAAAAACCACAGAGGGTCAACTCCTTGAACATATAGATTTCTGTAAGTCAAGCTGCTATGTCCACGTTAACCCTATCAAAGGCTTCAATAAACATCTACAGAATCAGAATGTTCTGGTCTTCCTAGTGCTCTGCAGTGATGTAGCATTTCAAAGATGGGTTTGGGCAACTAGCAAAAAATACTGATGTGTTTTCCTCAGAGCACAGTAGCATGGATTTTTAGAAAGGGGGTCCACCAATGCCACTTGGAGAGAGAAAGGAAGGTGGCAACCAGCAACCTGTTCCATGTGGTACCCTCAGCTCTACAAATATACTTATTGTCCAGTCCTTTGAGCAAAGTACCTTGATTTAATGGTATTGCTACCACCACCAAATCTGATCTCTAAGAACACTGTTAATAATGCACAAAGGGAAACATTTGGATTCTTCTTGAAATAGTGTCCATATATCAAAATTCTTAAATGGTTCAACAGTGATACACAGACTTACCACCTAGAAAGTCCCAATATTATATACACTTGGTGGTAGAGAAAAACCAGGGAAGTGAAAATAAGACACAGTTGTTGTTTTTTTTAATTCCCATCAATTAACAAAATTCCCCTAAGGAAATTTAGGGACTTTAAAATTCCTAACTCTAACTTCTTTCTGAACTTAAGTTCTATACCACATCAGTGTGTTCTTACTCATAAAGAAAACGAATGCCAACAGTTACATGCAGATAGTGGAGCTGAAATTTCTTCTAATCAGTACACATTTTATAAAAGAAAGATTTCACTGGTCTCAGAAGATTTTTTCCCCCTTCTTTTCCAGAATGAAGGTGAAGGTATAGAAGAACTGAGCTGTTCACGCTTGTTCAGCCCCGGTTGAGGCCAAATTTACAGGCTTGTCCAAGAAATGGCTGGGGCAAAGGGGCAGAGGGCAGGGCCCTTCTCTTGAGGGGACAGAAACTGACACTGACATCCTTAGGAGCTTTGTTCCCATCTAGTGGGCTCCAGGAATTAGACATTCGATTAGCAGCAACTTTCTGGGTACTGTATTATCAATAAGTGTGAGTCAATGACACATTTCATCTTCTTTCCACATAGAAGGTGAAGGCCAATACTAAGACCAACTGAATCTTCTGCCACAACAAGACCAAGAATGGAATATCACTGGCACCATACATGAAGTCACAAGGCACTCAAGATGTGTTTTAGAAAAGCCTGTCTTGTTTAACTAACTGTCCCAAGTTTTTTCCTTATTCTGCTAATGGTTGAGTCCACCGGCTCCCTTAATAACCTCCTCTAACCTTCCAGAAGGTATTTCCTTAGATCTAAGGTAAATGCCTAGGCCAGTGATTCTCAAATATTTTTACTTCAGGACACCTTTAAAAATCCTCTTAAAAATTATTGAGGACTCTGAAGAGCTTTTGTTCATGTTGGTCTTATCAATCGGTATTTGGCATATTAGAAATTAAAACTGAGAAGGGAGAAGAGATGAGAGACAGAGCCCTGACTGGATAGAGCGTCTGGTCCTAGACCTGCGTAGCCATTCCCTGCCCTTTGGCTTTACTTGAGCCAGAAATCTCCCTTCCAGAGAACTTGATCTGGTTGGGTTTCTGCCACTAGGAAATGAAAGAGGCCTGAACACTATATCCACAAAACAAAGAATAGTTTAAACCAGTATATAAAGGAGTAGAGTGAGTGTAACAGTGATGCACCCCCTTTCATTTGTCATCCATTGAGAGCCTCCAGAGGGCTTAAGAAGGTAACCATCACCACTAACATTTCTACAGTGCCTATGGATTTCAAAGTGCTTTCATATTAAGTATCTCATTTAGTTTTCTCTACAACCCTATGAAACAGCTTGTTTTATACCCATTTTACAGATGAGAAAACCGGGGCGCCGAGATGGAGCCGTTAAGCCGCTCAGCCAACACAAAATCCAAATCTTATTCTCTAGATTCCCACGGTCATAGTTCCTGTCTCACATAATGCTTGCCACTTTATAGGACACAGACCTGTAGCACAAGCCTTAATATTTTCAAGTCCCAGATTTTTTATCCATCGTCTTGCAGGGGGAGGGGAGTGGTCTGCATAGCAGATCCCCTAAAATACCAATCGTATTTGGCTCTGGTCTGTGTGGGGCGTGAAGAGAACATGACTGGGGCTTAAGTTAGAACGGCAATCATGCTTTTCGAGATCTGTAACTGAGGGGCTGCGGGAGGGGGCACAGAGGTGGTGCTGGGCAGGAACTGCAGGAGAAGCCAGATAATGCACCCTGCAGATAGTCCACAGGCTGCGCCACAGCAGCGGGAAGCAAAGAAAGCATCTCTGCTCCGGGTCCGGGCGGAAGAGATGCGGGAGTCGTGGGACTCAGATTCCGAGGTCTGGATTTGAAAGGCGCCCACACACAAAGAAACCTTGAAGTTGAGTTCCCGCGGCACGACGCGCAGAGTTCGAAACCGAGCCTTCCTTCCCAGCAGCGGTGGAAAGGTCTAATCCACCCGCTCACCCAGCAAGGCGCGGATCTTCTTTTATCCCCTGGGGCTGCTCGGACAGCCGACGTCGGGCACGCCCGAGGCTCCTCCAAGGAACTACAAGTCCCATCTAACCCTGGGACGCGGGCGATGATGACGAAGCTCCCGCGGATTGGCCGCGCGGGGCGGGGCGCGCAGGCCTTCTCCAAGGGAAGGGGCGGGTCGCAGGGCGGGGCGAGCGGCCGTGGCTAGGCGGACACGCCCCCTCGCCCGCGGCCCCCTCCCCGCCTCTCTCCGCCGCTTCTCTCGCTCCCGGGTCAGAGGGCCGGAGCGAGAAGATGGCGAAGACGTACGATTATCTCTTCAAGCTGCTGCTGATCGGCGACTCGGGGGTGGGCAAGACTTGCCTCCTGTTCCGCTTCTCCGAGGATGCCTTCAACACCACCTTCATCTCCACCATCGGTGAGGGAGGGGCCGCGGCCGGGGACGGGGAGTGAGGGAGATATGGGGGGCGGGTGCAGGCGGGCCGGGGAGCGGGCTGGAGGAGGGCTTGGGAGCCCCAGGGAGGGGACCCTGGGGACAGCAGGGCGGCGAGGGCAGTAGGAGAGGCTGAAGGAGTGAGGGAGAGGGGCGGGCGGGGACGTGAGGCTGGGAGGGGGGGGTGAAGAGGGAACTTGGGGGCAAAGGAAGGGGAAGGAGAACCAGAGCAACAAGGACTCGGGGTATTGGGGAAAATGAGAGGGCTGGGAGAGTGACAGGGAAGGGTCTTAGCGGGACAAAGTGGGGGACGGGAGACACGAAATCTCATGGAGAAAGAGAAGGGGATAGTGGGTGTGAAATGGATTAAAAGACAGGAAAGAGGAAGGAAATGCGAAGGGGGAAATGAAGCTTTGGGGGAATGGGAGGGACGTGAAGTAAAAGAACAGAGGACAAGGGACAAGAGAGGTGAGAACCCAACAATCGGAAGGGAATTCAGAGGAATGAGTGATCAGGAGGTGAGGGATGGGGGGCACTGGCCACAAGAGGTCTGTATCTCTTGTCACGGGAGGGGCAAAACAAAAATTGCAGGATGGGGAGAAGAGTTCAGGGGATCAGAGGTCAGAGCGAGGACAGGTGGTGAGAAAGTAAAGGAAAGCTGGGTGTGAGATAGAAAGGAAAAAGAGAAGCAGAATATACACTCCAGAGGTTGAGCAGAGAAGACAGAGAAAATGGGAAAGGGAGAGGAAGTGGAAGAAAGCGTGGGGCACAGGACTTTCTCCAATAACTGGGAACCCTGGTTACCATTTTCTCTCTCCCTTTCCTTTGGCTCAAGTGCAGGAGAAAGAGCAAAACGGACAAATGGTGGAATAATGTCTACAGAGTATTAAATTGTTCTGTGAGCCTTAACCGGTGTTAAGAGAATTGGTGACTCTTTGGAGTGGTGTGGTCAGGAAAATAGGGTTCACTCCTTTACTACCATCTCCTGAGAAGCATCACTTCTCAACTTTGTAAATTCTTGGGCTTGAATGTTTAATAACTTCTCAGTGGAGGAATTCATCTTACATTTTGCCTGCCTCCCTATGCGTTTTGCCTTGGTTTTAATTATTACTTGCTAAATGAATCACAACATACAGTGTACCCCCCAATTACTTTGAATTGATTAATCGTTTTTCCTGATCTTGGCGGGGAGCTGTCCTTTCTACTTTTGTCCTGGCAGACTTTGTGTTCAGGTAAGGAGATCGGTAACTTAGCATAAACTGAAGAGCAAATCAAAGCTGGTTTTAAGCTGCCTGCACAAGTGACCTTAACATCATTTCCTTTGTTAAATAGCTGCAGTTAATTAAGTACCTTAAGAATCTTAGCTTTTGGTTGTCTGGGTGATGTTTGTGGTTTCTAATAGTAGCTCACTTAAGCACCTTTCACGGGCGCCTGGGTGGCTCAGTTGGTTAAGCGGCTGCCTTCGGCTCAGGTCATGATCCTGGAGTCCCGGGATCGAGTCCCGCATCGGGCTCCCTGCTCGGCGGGGAGTCTGCTTCTCCCTCTGACCCTCCTCCCTCTCATGTGCTCTCATTCTCTCTCTCTCTCAAATAAATAAATAAAATCTTTAAAAAAAAAAAAAAAAAAAAGCACCTTTCACATGGTTCTTATAGCATATGTCACCGTGAATTTCTGGGATTATTATGGTGCTATGGTAACAATTGTATTTGAATATTGTGTGTTTTAAGGATAATTTACCATTAAAAAAAAAAAGAATATTTGGGTATAGAGCGCTCTCAAAATTGAGAACTAGGGAAGTCTATGTTTGTTTGTTCTGGCCTCTTTCAGATGGATTGAGTGCTCTGAAACCTCCCCAGTGTTATGATGTCTGGGTTTAGGGAAGTTTGAGTTGCAAGTTCTTGGCAGTCATTCTTGAGTGGGACTTTTTCTTTTCTGAGGAAGCAGATTTTAAATGTCATGTCTCAAGTATATTCCTAAGAGATTTGGTGGGAGCTGTCACAGCAACTAAAGGACGTTAGTTTTGGATGCTGGTACTAATTTCAACACTCCGAATAAATCTTTTACATTGTTGAATGCATAGTGCAGTCCAGATGGTAAAGGACAATTTCTAACAAGTTGAGTGGGTAGCCTTTTGTCCATTCTTCGTGTGACCCTCCCAGAAGCATTCTCCTGTGTCAAAAGTGAGTGAGTCTCGCTGATGTAGTTTCTGTTAAGCTCCTTGGCTGACTTTTGCTCATTTGAAATAGCTTTATTAGCTTCCTTTTTTTTTTTGGCCTTAATTTTTGTCCCACATTTCCTGTAAGGGTATCTGCTTCCTTTTGTGATAGTAGCTTTTAAAAATTACTTTTCATGCTGATGGCTTAGAATCTTTCTTGTGGGGACTTTTTTTTTTTTTTTTAATTGAAATTGGTTCCGTGAAGGATTGCAGCTGTGAAGGCAGGAAAACCAGTGTCCTGAAACTGTGTGGAACATAAGGTAGACGTTAATTGGGATGAGTCTCAAATGTGATCTTGGTCTTTGTATTTTCTGTGGGGTGGATGTGGTTAAAAGAGGCTATGAGCTGTGTCTTCAGTTGACCTGGAGGAGGGGAAATCCATGCGTCTTATTTAGCCACAGAGCCCGACAGGAAGTGGTACTGCCTTCAAACAGCAGAAAAATTTTTTTTACCTGAAACCTAATGCTTTGCATTTGAAATTAAGCTGGGAAAAGAAGGTGAATATTAACACCATTCTAGTGAAAAAAAGTTCCACACGTTCACTAACCACAGTCGTAGGCTTGGAGTGTCCCCATGTCTAGCAGCAATGCTCACTCCCCACAACCCTCTCCCCCGTCTGCTGGTGATCTGAAGTTGTTGAGGTAAGAGTTGGTGGTCCATCTCCTCCGCAGACATAATTATTTTTTGAGGTACCTAGGTGTATAAGTTCCTGGGCTTTTCTGACTGGGTTTTGACAGAGTCTGCCACAGCCTTGCTCACTAAACCTGATAAGGTCAGCATCACAGGAAAAAGCCATTTCTTAACACCTGAGGTTTGTGTGTGTGAGATTTGGTAGATATGCATGTGTGCTTGTTTCTTCCCGTGCAGATACATGTTTAGTCTTAATATTACTTTGTCAAAGTTAAGTCATTTTTTTTAAAAGGCATCTGCCATCTTTAGATCCTGTTTGGTAGTGATTCAGCCATCATGAAAGGAAGGAGACAGTCATTTTGATTACAGATACGGCTGTCTCATGAGTACTTTCTTCTCATTTCTCTAAGGCTCTGCTACCTTCTCTGAGATCCCATCTCCCCACATTTCCTTTCTGCTCTTGGGGGTGGTGGAGGGTGCGTTATCTTTCACCTGAACCCATTGGGAATCTTGAAGTGTATCAGTCAGGTAATATTCGTTAACTATTGAGTAGGGATGATGTATCCATTTGAAATTATAGGCCTAGTGCCTAGGACCAACCAGCGTTTCAGTTCAAAGGTTTGAGAACTGAAAAAAAATTTTCTATTTTTCTTTCTTTTTTTTTTTTTTTTAAGATTTATTTCTTTATTTGAGAGAGAGAGAGACAGCAGAGAGAGAGAGCACCAGTGGGGTGGGCGTGGGGGGTGGTGTGAGGGGCAGAGGGAGAGAGAGGGAGAAGCAGACTCCCCGCTGAGCAGGGAGCCCGATGCGGGGCTCGATCCCAGGACCCTGGGATCATGACCTGAGCCGAAGGCAGGAGCTCAACCGACTGAGCCACCCAGGTGCCCCTGAAAAAAAGTTTTTCGATGAGCTCCCCCAAACCTCCTACATAATCATAATGTTTTAAATGTCTGTAAGATGTGATGTTAAGACAGCCAGGAAACAGTAATACAGTCAGCTGTGCATTATATTTCCTGTGGGATGTGGGTGCAGTTGACTATTGATATGAGGCCGTACCAACACCTTGGAATGGCCTGTACTGAGCAAGGTGCTGATAGAACAGAAAGAGAAAACCTAGCCCTAACTGGACAACGTGAGCCTCTTCCCATCGCTGTCTCTCCCCTGCCCTCCCCCCTCTTCCTGGTAGGGTATTTCCTGAGTGGTTTCATTATTTAGTCTAGTCATAGTTGATAGCAGAAAGAGTTGGAGATTATCGACTTTCTACCTCTGCCCCAATTTATAAGTAGGAAAACTAAGGTTAAGTTGACACAGATCGCACAGCTGGTTGTAGCAGAACTTCTCGTGAAGCCCCCAATTCAAGTCTGTGTGACTTCTCACAGTTGAGCTGCAGCTAATTCTCCTCAGTCTGATCGGCCCCATAAATCCAAGTCGCCCCCTTTTCCGGGGAGGAATTAGATTTTGCCTTTATGCTCTGCTGTGAGGAATTTCTCCTGGGATAACTCTGCATATGATAGCCGTCCTTTGCCCTTTCTTTTGTGTCCCTAGTTACAGGTTGGGAGATCAAAGTGCATCCTGTCATTAAAATTCCTTCCACGTGCAAAATAGCTAATGAAATCATGTTAATAGCAGTATGCTGGTTAATTGTTGCAGCCTGGTCTCATCAGAGCGCTTTTAGATATTTTATTCTGTAACGTTGCATTTTTTGCTTGGATTCACTTTTCCTAAAATCAGGGGTTGCCAAAGTATGGCCCGGGACCAAATGTGGCCTGCAGTTTTTGTGCCTTTGGAACACTAGTTAACATTTCTAAAGGGTTATTAAAATATAAAACGAAGAATATACAACAGAGACCATATGGGATCTACAAAGCTTATAAAAATATTTATTAACTGTTCCTTTGTAGAAAAAGTTTGTCGACCCCAGCCTAAAATTAAAAACTGGTTTTGGTTGGTAGCAATTCAAGGCTGTTATCAAGACTTATTGACTGAAAAACAAACTTTGTCATATTTACATTTTTATCCAAGCTGTCATCAACATTTGGCTGAGCATCATCCAGATACGTAGAGCAAGTGGATTTTAATTTTCATAGTTGTTTTCCTTGGTTTCAGCCTCTCAAACAGAAATATGCAAGGAACATGCAAC